CTCTCCTGGGCAAGTCCCTAGCAAGTTTGCTGGCGTGACAGTTTCACCTTAAAAGCCTTCAAACTCCTCTTCATCATCTGATATTAAAAGTTCATCAACGACATCTTGGTGCCATGATAGGGATGATAGGGGTTTGACTGGTCGACGTTTTCTATGCTGTACTGTACAATGGGGCAGTATTGTGGTTGGCTGTTGGCTGTATACAAAGCCTGATTTGATTGGTCCCTGCTCCCTGTTTGCCCGCCCTGTCACTATAGCAGTCTGGTCCACCCTTGCATCAGCATCTCCCTGGGACCTCACTAGTGCGCAAGTGCGAGCTCTTCAACATTCTAAGAGGCATCATGATAGCGCAAAATCACGAATCTTCAATGCATATGTAAAGAAATATACGGTAACCCGAATTTACCACACTCGCAAAATCGCACACAGCCAACCATACACCCAGTATGGTATCGCGATTCGCGATTTTGTGCTATCATACTGGGTGTATGGTCGGCTGTGTGCGATTTTGCGAGTGTGGTAAAATCGCATAACAGCAAAATCGCATAACAGCCGAGCATACACCCAGCAGCGCTGCTTATGCCTGAACGGTATGTGGAATGAAGTGGGCGGGCATCGGGAGGCCACTATGGCACGGGGCAAGCACTATGGGCATTCTATCTGAAGTGTACCTGGCGTATAAGACGACCCCCCACTTGGAGGCATATTTTTCAGGGCCAAAAAATCGTCTTATACGCCGGCAAATACAGTAAATGTTTTCCATCTAAGCAAATCCAGAGTAGCAGTCTGCCTCTAGCTTACTTCTTTCCAGGAGATGTCAAACCCTCAAGAATTTAATGGCTCCTTTTGCAACTATAACCAAAAGGCACCTACACATAACTCAAGCCTACTGCTGCCCCATGGGGATATAAAGTAGAACCTTCCTATTCCAGAAGCAGGAGAGAAGAGCAATAAAAGGTCACGTTTTTATATTTAGCTGGATTCAGATGTCTGGTTTCACCTCCCTTAGCAGATTCAGGCATAATTATGTGACATCCTAACCGCTAGCTTTCCTGTGATGATTTAGAAAAAATTATGGAAAAATCAGAAGAGGGAGATAATTATTCCTTCCTCCATACTGATGTGTGTTTGAATCCAAATAGTAATGACTTTTTCCAAAAGCATATGTGATATCCTTGGAGCTGTTTGAAGATATTCTGGAAGTTTGCTCTATAACAATATGAAAAAAAGTGACATTCTTTAGAGGTTGAAGGGCTTATTTTTTTGTATCAAAATAAAGAATGAATCTTTGGAATAAAAAAAAAGACATGGTAGAGAGTGAAACAAGGCACTGTAACCATATAAGTAACAATAGGTTTCCAGTCAAAAGCTATGCAGAAATTCCACAAACTGATAAAAAAAAAAACGTAGCCCGCAGAATGAAAAAGTGAACAAAGGACTTGAATATGTACTTAAAAATAGGAAAAAGTAAAGACTATAGTGAACTTTTAGAAATACATATAAAAGTTAAAAAATAATTTCATTTGAAAAACAATGAAGTGCTTATTACCATTAAAGTCAGACACAGTGGTTACCTAAAACTAGAACGACTTCTGAGGTAATGAAAATATTCTATTGAGTCATGTAGGAGGTGAGTGCATGGGTGTTAATTTTATAATTGTTCATTATTTTACATAATGCACAATTTTTATACACTTTTGTGTATGTTATATTTGGCAATAAAAGCAGATTTTTCTTAAGAGTACTAAAAGAACTCAATCTGATTAGATCATGACAATTTTCCAGGTAATGCAGGCTATACACTTAAAAATAAAGATTCTCCTTAAAAACAGAACTTCTAGGTTCAGATTTTCCCCATTTTGTTGTTCTTCAGCCCGATTTCCCATTTTAGGTCATATATACTCTCAAGAGAAAGAGGTATCACTTGGTTTGTGTCTTAAGGGATAAGATTTAGGTATGGGTAGATTGGGGGAGGGATTCAATCTGTTCTGCTAATCCTAAAGTGAGTTTGAGGAGTAAGTCTTCTGAGTGAGCTTGTGTCCCTGAATCACTTTTTTTTTTTCTTTCCATTACCAACAAAACAAACAAAAATGAGTATGCCTTAGCAAAAATGCAAGTAACAAATTTTCTCTTCCTAGTCATACAGCCCACAACATGCATATTTGAGGAGTCCATAGATCTGCCCCGTCTATTAACTCTCACTGTGACTTTAACCAACCAAGAGAATATAGAGGATACCTTTGGCTGGCTATGCAGGGAAAGTGACAAGTGTGATCAGTGAAATTAAACAGATCAGGAACCAAGGAATACTGGACCTCAGTTACCCCATATTTCAAATGGAAACAGTATCTTTCATGCTACATATCTGAAAGGCCATATATCATAATTGCTGCCAAACTGATCTGAAGAAGACATAGGAGAGAGTGTCACTGCTTCTAATACAAACAAGGTACAGTAGAATAACAGGAAACGCATCAGACATTCTGGCTCTGACATTTACCAGCTGGGTGACTGGCCACACATGAATTGGACCATTCTGGTTCTTTTCCCAAATCTTTGAATACATGTAAATTATACCTTCTAAAACTATATTACCTATGCTTTCTTAGAACTGCTTTTATGACCAACGTAACAAATAAAAGTTCAATATTATATAAGTTAAATTAAAATCATTTTATGAAGGCATTAAAAATATGGTTTCTTTAAATAGCTTTAATAAATAACAATATAAGTTCTGAGAAAACTAACATTTTATATATACCTTCTTTAAAAGGCAACTAATGTTATATTAAGTAATACCTGCAACTATCATCCACAGCTGATTAAAGAAGAAAAGAACAAGTACTGTACAATTAAATTTAAAATTAGGTATAATGAATCCCGTTTGGATATACATATTCGGGAAAATATTCAATAGTTACATACAGATTTCTGTCCTACTTGGCCAGCAGCCCTGCCACCCTCCCACACAAGCCCAGTCCCCTTGGCCTGAACCTACCCTAAATTCCCACAATTCTACAACTAAAGACCTAAACCGCTAGTAGAACAGGGTGTCCCCCAGTACACTGTTCCAACCCTAACAATTTGGTGCCTATGCTATACTTATTGTTAAATATCTGGGAAACCACTCCTGGATAAACTGGAAGTAAATAAAACACATATTTTTTACATTCTAAAGGAAAGACGAGAGTTTAAGTGGGTCTGACTTACCAAATTTTACTATTTCGTTGTTGGATCGGCCAACAACGTAGGTAGACATCCACAATTATTCTTTGTCCTTTGGGTTGCCACCTTCTCTCTTTTGTTGTCAGTACAGTAATAAGAAGTTCAGACCTGACACTTGGACAAGAGAACTCTGCTAGTCTGAGTACAAAGTATTTGCCTCTAAGAAATTGAGTATCTAGAAGTATATGCCAGCCTCATTCCCTAATCTCAATCTGTGAAATTAAAAACAAATGTTTTCAATGAAACATATTAAAATATACAGTTTTTCTCTGACTGTGGTAGGGGAACTTAAGTGGAATAGCACCTACCGGCTATCTAGAGTACCACTAGTTGCAAAAAGGTTAACAGTTCAATTCAATTTACTGATTCAACACTGAGTTAAGGTAAATAACCTCTGAATAACGCTTTTATTTGGAAAACACATTTTCTAAATATTATCTCACTTGGATCTGACCACTTGTCTTGAGATATAGGCTATTATCTCTATTTCACAAATGAGGAAATTGATGCTCTCAAACATCTGCCCAATACTCAGTTGGATTTGAACACTAAAGCATGACACTTGGAAAAAGAGCTCCAGCACAGGGTTAGGCACTGTGTACAGCATAGAAGAAACCTAAAGTGTTCCCTAAAGAAACTTAAAATTCTAATTAAAGGACAGAGTCAGAGATAGGAAATAAAGAAGAGTCTGAGAAGGGACATATGACTGTGGCGCTACTCCTGCACTATCATGACCATAGTCTCCCCAGTTCCTATACCAGCCACGATGCTTAGGATAGGCCGACTGTCACTTTAAAACTGTAACAAAAATTATAGGACATGTAACAATCACAATACAGCAAATAAACAACTACTATGGTAAGTATGTTAGCTCTGATTCAGTAAAATATTCAGCGGAAATAAGAAATCAAACACATGTCTAAATAACTTTCCCAAAAGCAAATAACTAATAAGTAAGATAAAAATGTCATGTTTCCAAATATGTTTTTCTTCCCTGAGACTTAAGAAAACTCTCACTTAAAAATTAATTATAATAATTTCAGCAGTAGAGTGTTAAAAAGTCTGCTATACCTAATTGTACTTTACTGAACTTATTAAGAGGAAAACAACCTATTTCACTTTACACACACACATAACTTCTGTAATTTCTTAAGACTAAACAGGCCTTTGGGCTCCGTTTATTCACTGATAATTGAACAGTTGATTATCATTTTAGTAGGCATTCTACCAAATTGCTTAGAATTTTAACAACATAAGCTATTGCCTGATACCGATTATCTCAATCATAATTTCCTAATTTTTTTCATGATTTATATTTTCTAAATCAAAATCTGGCCTAGTTCCAATGGACTCAAA